TTTTGTAGATGGCTTCGCCGTTGATGATAATCATTCATCACAGCGGGCAGTGGGACCAGTTTGAATACCAAAATTTCCAGATGTCGGGTGTTTTGGTTCAACAACAATGCTGTTACGATGAGTTGTGTAGCGCAATAATGGAAGAACTTGGAGTTGCGTCAACGGATTCTACTTTAGAGTTGAAATATCAATTTAAAGAGGGATATCCACCGATATGCATAAAGGGTGATAGTAGTCTCAAGTTCTACATTGAAATGAAATCAAGAGAAGTAGACTACACGTTGTATCCTATATGCGTTATAGTAAATTCTATAGTCGATGTGGCGAGATCTATTGCGAGGAACACGAGTAATGAAGAAGTGACGTTCAACTCAAATATAGTTCCGTTGAGGTATGCTGGTCTTGATAATTATGTTGAAAATCCTGAAGGGCCTGTGAACTTTATGTCTTTTGCGCGCAAAGTTGCAGAAGATATGGTAGAAGACGCAGCATATACCGAACATAAACTGGACATATACCCGGCTGATGGTAAAATTGTATCGATTGAGGATCAGCTGATATCTGAATTGTCAGTTGGTGTGACATTCAAGGATAAAAATATTTTGCAGAGGTTTATGAGTGTTCATGCAATTAAGAACCAATATCAGTTCCGGGTGGAGAAGTCATGTGCTAAACAATATTACGTGAAGTGTGTCTCTAGCGATTGTACATGGTTTGTTAAAGCATCTCGTGTTAGTCGTTCCAGCACATTCATGATAAGAGAGCTTGGAACTGAACATAAATGTCCGTTTGATGTTCGAGCTAGTAATCAAAGGCAGGCAACTTCCAACGTTGTGTCTAACCTCATTAAGTTGAAGTTCATGAACAATAAGACTTCATATAGTGCTGCAGACATCATTGATGATATGCAAATCAGATACGGGATAAATTTATCATATCACAAGGCATGGAGATCAAAGCGGAAAGCTGTAGACGAAGTTCGTGGAAAGGCTAGTGATTCTTATGATTATATTCAACAATACCTGGATAAAGTAGGTGCCTCAAATCCAGGAAGTATATTGAAGTTGTGTGCAACATCAGAAAAAAATTTTTTGTACGTGTTCATGGCTCTTGCTGCATCAGTTAAGGGGTGGAAACATTGTCGTCCTGTTGTTGTTGTCGATGGGACATTTCTATCATCATCATATGGGGGGATATTGTTAACTGCATGCTGTCAAGATGCGAATTTTCACATTCTTCCGCTTGCATTTTGTGTCGTTGATTCGGAAAACAACCAGTCATACTTGTGGTTTTTCAGCAAATTACAAGCACTGATTGGTGACAAAGATGGGTTATGCATCGTTTCAGACGGACATGACAGCATAAAAAATGCTGTATCAAAGGTAAACAGTATATGTTTAGTATATATATCGTTTATGTCCGGTATATGTTATTAAGACTGTATTTAAATCTTGATTAAAAAAAATAGCAATTACTTATTATCACTGATTGTATATTTAAAAATTGATGCTTATTTCTGATAATTATTGTATGATAAATCTTTTTAAATACATATAACGATATGAGTTTTTTTTTTGTTTATTTTTTTATCCAGGTATTTCTGAACGCAGCTCACTGTCTATGTACATATCACATATCTAATAACATCAAGACACCAAGCAGTCAAAGATTCCTTTCACGCAGCAGCAAGAGCGTATACAGTTGAGGAATTTGATTCGCACATGGCTGAGATAAAAAAGTTGAATCCTGACGTGATACTATATATTGAAAAAATTGGAGTACAAAAGTGGGCTAGAATTCATTGTCCAAAAAATAGGTACTTCACCATGACGTCAAACGCGGCTGAAACAATTAATTCCGTGACGAAGTCGGTTCGTGATCTTCCAATAACCACTCTCTTAGAATCATTGAGAGAAATGCAACAGAAGTGGAATGTTGCAAACAGAGAAGAGGCGAAGGCAACATTTACTACACTTGCTAAGAAGCCGCATAACATGTTGGAAAGTAACTATAAGGAAGCTGCAAGATTTTCAGTAAGACATAAAAATATATGTATACTGGAAATATATCTTATATATACTTTTTGATATTATAAATATATTTTTTTTCCCGTAGGTTCAGAAGGCAAGTGACAAGATTTTCAAGGTCTTATCTGATGGAAAGGCATATATAGTGGATATAGATGGAAAGACTTGCACTTGCAACCGATTCCAAATGGATGAACTCTCATGCCCACATGCTATACGCGTGATAAAGTCTCTCCACTTGGATCCAATTCCTTTTTGTTCAGTGCACTACTTAACCTCAACTATGTTGGCTACATATGATGAAGCGGTCATACCCATAGAAGGGAACTCGTATGTCACATTAGACACGAAACCTAACACACGTCAAATAAATCCTCCAGATGCTAGAGTTCGGCCAGGACGCCCAAGGAAGCAACGATTCAAGTCGGGATGGGAGCATAGATCGAAAAATAGATGCGGCAGATGTAATGAGAAAGGTCATAATGTCAAAACTTGTAGGAACCCAGCAAAATAACATTTTATGGATGCCATTTGAAACCTTATTGATTGTGATGTTTCATAGATGGTTTTTATATAAATTATTTACCATTTAGCATTATTCAATTTGCAAATTATTTCCTATCTACTATTGAATACCTAATAGATTTACTTGTAATGAGAAAGAAAAACACATGTGGTAATCAGCAGTACAAGTGATGTTAAAAACACATATTAAAAAAATTTCCATATACTGAACATATTCTGTACATATAACGAAAAAAAAACCCGTGTTGTATTGAGGCGTACATATACTGGAGAAATTAAGTGTTTTATGTTTTGTATAAAGAATAAGTACTTATGTTTTAAGCAAAATACAAGCACTGTTTATATTAATATGTATACACATTGATCTAAGATTATTTATTGTCATTTATCAAAAAATAAAAAAATTAAAGAACTATTATATTCACAATATAAGTTAATTTCGACAATAAACAACTTTAAAATTGAACAAACATCAACCATGAAAATATATAATCCAAAATGATAAATTACGTTCAATTCAAACATTCGAATGTATCAAAAAGCAAAATCCCAACATTAAAAAACATAGTGTTCCCCTGATTCAAAAAGTCATGAAAATCAAAACAAACAAAATCATTCTAATAGACTAAGACGGACATCATTGGGCAACGGACCAAGAGAATCATCATCACTTCCACACTCGTTTTGCTGCTTCTTCAAACCGTGGGTGTACAACAAGTACGTATATCTTTCCCTCTCGATGTCAACATCAAAGTTCTTTGTAGTAATATCAACGTCGGTTATGATGTGCTCCGCATAAGATGCCACGAATATTCCACAGTCGCTGCAAAACATAAATTATATGCAGTTTAAAAAAATATATAAATATCATAGTCAGATTATATACCAATCAAAAAAAGATTAATAATATTCCAAACTGTTGAAAAGATGGAACTGAAAGTTTTTATTATTATTATTTTTATATTTTGAGTTTTTTTGTGAATTCAAACCTGTTCAGTTGCTGTGGAATGTTGGTCGCCATCATAACCTCAAATGGGCTCTTAACGTCTGTTGGTATCCGCCCGCCCGCATCAGTATTGACATCACTCCTTTTTTTGTAAAATTGCACTACCTCAAGAAAAATTGGGATCAATCGTACATACGCTTGTACACTTTCTAGTACAACCGCATCACATTCAACAGAACGATACGAGTTATAAACCCAAAACCTCATATCAGTGAATGACAATCTACCCAATATCCAATGCCCAATACCATTTACTTCCACGTGCATGGGAAAAAAAACGTCCTCAACTTCAAACCATGACAAGCCGCATATAATTCTATATCCCATAATGTAGTCAACGATAATATCATGAACAGAGCATATCCCATTGTTGCACGATTGTGAAACGTATATAGCATATAACGACTTGATGTGTTGGTCAAAGAACACATCAGTCGTCGTAAACCTAACCTCAGCAGTACCATACAACCCAAGCTTTCGTAGGTAGTAGAACAATACATCCATATGCTGTACATGAAAAAAATATGATCAAAATATATATATATATATATATATATATATATATATATATATATCACAAATTATAACAAAAAATTGTATAAACGACAAAAAATGATTAATAGATAAGATTAAACTTACGCTGCTGTCAAGGAAGCATCCTGACTCATAAAGTGTGTAAAACCAGTTTTTATCACACACAACATAAACATTGAAATCAAATGGTGGGTCCAATTTCCTGTTTCTTTTATCATAGTAAACCATCCTGTTGAATTAAAATATATGTGAGAATATTTGACAATATTATTCTTATTGACAACAATCAACAATAACAGAAAATAATATTTTAGTATGTAGCAGGAATATAAATCTCAGTATACAAATATGAATATACTGTACATATATTGTGAATATATTATGAGTATATACTGCGCATATACTGTCAATCTACTTAGCATATTCAATTTTAGAAAATTGTGAATTCATTTTATAAATTATAATATACTATGACTAAGAAATTATAATATAAGCATTAGAAATAACAAATATAAATAGTATATAAAATCCCTTATCAGCAGATTATTTTAAGAGTTTAATAACTTTTAATACATATATATTATAAGAATATTTTTCGTACCCGTCATTTAACTTGCGATCTCTCTTGAGTGAACCAATCAAATACCACTTGAGAAAATCGCCAGTGTTTAACTTTCGAGATTTACTCCAGAAATCAACATCAAAGGGACATGACTTCGAAATGATTTTTCCTTTCTTGATACGGCGTTGTCTCCTTGCAATTTTTTTTATTTCCGTAGAGCCTAATACCGTGGTGTTTGGTTTTGGTATCAGTGCAACTTCATAGCACTGGGGCTGCACGATGTTCGTCTTTACAATTTCTCCAGTCTCCATTGGTATCTCCTGAAATACAAATGAATTGTGTAATATATATGCTATAGCGAATGAATTAGTTGTGTAATATAATAAAAATGAAAAGTAGATTAGAGTATGACCATTGGCTGGTCTTGTGGTGCTTTGTTGTCCACTTTCAATTGTTGTGTGGATGGGAGACCTTCAATGTTTAAATCAAATGATGGCGGAGTCAATGTCAATGCGTTGCCGACATCTAACTCCTTGTGGACATCAACTTCCAGGTTTGCAATAATCTATAAAATTAAGGATAAAAAAACATCATAAGTATAAGTATATATATATATATATATATATATATATATATTAAATTGCAATGATGGTATAACTAGTATTACCGTAGTGACAATATATTATAATTACCTGTTCTTTCTCCTTCGATGAGTTCTTCAATTTTTCTGCCGTACTTCTATCAACTTCTTCAAGGAATTGTGTATCAAGTGGAGAAAATGGATCCAAATCATCAAACGTAGTGCTAACTGGTGGAGAAGGCGCACGAATCTGATTGAAAAATTTTAATATATAATTAGATGAGAGATTACATATAAATGTGTAAATATATACTATACATATACAATAAAAATTCTATATATTATTTTCAATCCTTAAATACACAATCAGCGGCACGCTTCATCAAAGCTTCTGATTTTGTTCTTGTTGCTAATACAGGCCGCTCGGGAACATCCTGATTGCAAATGAAAAGAAAAGAAAAGATAACGTATATTTGCTACTACAAATATCAATTTATTACACAACTTTATTTTGCAAGGAAAAAAAAAATTAAATGACATTAAACAACTGTATTATGCAACAGCGGGGGTAACCTGTAGTGGTTGATCGAGAACAACCTCCGGCGTCTTATGATTATCCTCCTGTTATTCCATAAATATAATAAGCAATATATTTATTATACAATTAAAATATACAATATATACTATACGTATACAATATAGATTCATCATATTATTATTCAATCCTTAAATACACGATCATTGGCCTTCTTCATCAGAGCTTCTGATTTTGTTCTTGTTGCTAATACAGGCCGCTCGGGGACATCCTGCTTTACAAATGACAAGAGAAGATAACCTATATTGGCTTCTACAAATATCAATTTATTATACAACTTTATTTTGCAAAAAAAAAAAAAAATATTATATGAAAATAAACAATTGTATTGTGAACAGATATTGTTACCTGTCCTGGTTGATCAAAAACAGCAGCAGGCATATTCTGATTAAAATCCTGTTATTCCAAACAAATGATAATCAATATAATTATTATATAATTAAATAATACACAATATAATTATATATATATATATATATGAAAATAAATAAGTCTTAAACTTTTACAATAGTACAAAGCAAAATTAATACACCAACCGTTTGTTTCCCGGAATCGAAATGAGGGTCTACTTTCGTTTGAAGAGTTCCAAAGTCTAAATCATCAGATGGTTCATCAGAGGCTTTTCCATCGTCATCTTGAGAAACCTAATATAATAAATGAGTAACAAACAATTATGATGATTTACAAACACAACATACACAAAAACACATATTTGTGAAATGTTTGAAAAAAATCTGATTTATAACCTAAGACATAATGTAGTATATACAATAACAGTATATGTATATACAATAACAGTATATGTTACATATAAATATAACAATACCAGTATATGTATATGAAAATATATTTTTAATAACAATAACTGTTACATATAAATATAACAATAACAGTATATGTTACATATAATAACAATATATAAATATAACAGTATATGTTACATAACAGTATATACATATAAATATAACAATACCAGTTTATAACCTAAGACATAATGTAGTATATACAATAACAGTATATGTTACATATAAATATAACAATACCAGTATATGTATATGAAAATATATATTTAATAACAGTAACTGTTACATATAAATATAACAATAACAGTATATGTTACATATAATAACAATGTATAAATATAACAGTATATGTTACATATAAATATAACAATAACAGTATATGTATATAGGCATATATATATGTAATAACAATATATGTTACATATAAATATAACAATAACAGTATATGTATATATATTCATATATACATAATAACAGTAATATATGTATATATAAATATAAAATTACACTAAAAAGTGTATCATATACTTACGATGAATTTTTCTTTGAATAATGCAAATTCTGTAAAAACGCGGTTGGAAAAATCGATTAACATCTGTTTCAGACTTTGAACCTCAGCGGTAAGTGTGTCAAGACGTTTGATGACGTCTGGTTCATTGGTATGCTGTGGTGGTTCGGTTGTCGGTATTTCAGTACGATTGAATTCATTTTTCCTCTTGAAAAAACCATTGATGAATAAAGTCCGTTCCTCTTCCTCTGTCGGTATCAAGTTCTTGAACTAAGAAAGAAAATAAATAAATAGATTAAATAATGTTGTTATATTAATAAATACAAATATATATTTATATATTGGGAAACTAAGTACAGTAAGAGTTATTTATTACCTTGCTAGGATCGAAATTTGAAAAGATGCTCTGCTTAAAGAGACGATTGAAGTTGCCACGGACTTCCCATTTAAGCATTCTTGGTATGTCGTTGCCACCCACACGTGTGCAAATGACACCCTCTGCAGCGTTGCAAACCTCGTAGAACCAAAATTGGAGAGAAAGGATAAACCCATATAATCTGTACATGTGGCTACCTTTATCCTTTTTTCCAAATTTATGGATCTGCTCTCGAGAGCGAATGGATTTCTTCAAATGCTGAATCGTAAACTCAAAAACCTCAGTTCCCCAATTATAATCATCACACTCGGCACTATCTATCATGTCAACATAACATCTATCCACCCGAAGAGTGTCCTGCGACCCCAACAGAAAATTTGCAATTAAGTGCAACTTTGCAAATTTGACCGCATCCTCGTCAGTTTTCCAATATTTTTGATTTAACTGCCATCGAATGAAATTTCTGTTCAACGCAGCTCCAGAAAAGTACTTGTCGTACAAGCCATTGGACACTTTCGGAATATTCAATTTCTTGCAAGGCCCCGTACATTTCAATCCAGATATCAAGGCAAACTCTTCTATGCCAAAACGAAGAAATTTCCCTCCAAAATTAAGCCAAATCTCATCGCTCCTTGTCTGACGTACCTCCCTTAAAAGAATCTGATTTATAAGCTGATTTTGAACCTTGCAGTAGGGTAAATCCAAGAACTTGCCAAATGTAGAAGCCCTAAACAACTCTAACTGTTCCATAGTCAGCATTAGCTTGATATCAGCAATGGTAGACTCGTCTCTCGTGTTGTCATTACTGTTTAGAACTTTGACTTTTATATCCCTGGGATTTGGTATTAGCAATGCCCATTCCTAAAGAAAAAAATATTAAATAACATAATGTCTGTTAGTAAATAGACCAAACATAATGTCAATGTGGACAGAACATATACAACACTTATTATCACTGTACACAGGACATATAACAAAAAACATATTCTCTGTGTGAATAACATATACCGAACATAATGTAAATATGCATAGAACATATACCAATAAATATACATAATTATCTATTGTTCCTCAGTAGCAGTATACCAAACAAATTGAAATAATAAAACTAATGGGTCCAAAACCTTATAAAGAATAGTAGGTTTTTTCAACAATTAAACAAGATGTAAGGGGACCAGATTTACAACCATGTGGACAATGCAAAAAAATCGATATCAAACAAAAATTAATATTTTCATCCATGTGACCAAATCCTGTCTTCAAACAAAACCCAACAAAAATATTATTATGTGTTGACTGAATGTTAATCAAACAAAAAATTTCCCCACAAATCTAGAAAACAAGCAAAGACAATTTTGACTGTCAACCATACAATTCAACTTAGTCATGAGAACAAATGGAAAGAACGGACGTATATTCATATATACAGACCATTCTTTCACTTAAGGACTCATTAAAACTCCCCAATTTGATTTACAATACATTATAAAAAATAATTAATATCACCTTGCATACATTGGCCCTCTGAGACTCACGGTTAGAATTTTCCATTTGCGCAATTTTTTGTGACCTATTTTTTTTGTAATGACCTTCATCTTTGTAGATCTCCTTCTTCCTTTTTTTGCTTCTTTTTCCGAATATTTGCTCATCCTCGAAGCCATCGAACAATCTTTCTTCCGAATCATCTCCTTCGGTTTGGGTTTCACCGCGATAATCTGAATCCTCTGATTCTTCACTTTCAGCCGAATTGGGGATCTTTCTTTTTTTATGTTTCTGGGCTTGTTTAGGAGGGAATTTTCCATGATACGACTGAAAGTCGTCGGAATCCGAATTTCCGTTCTTGGTAACATGTAGAGCTTTGTCGACTGCCTTACGAGCTTCAATTGGCTTCATTTTTTTTCCAAAAAAGAGTTTCTTCTGCACGAGCTTGCCTTTATCTCTTGCTACTATTTGCCTAATACGAGCACTAGATCTCCTCTGTTCATCACCACCGGGGCCGCGAGTGTGAGTCTCACGGGGAATGGGCGGGATTTTGGTTTTAGCCATGAAATTAGGGAGTAGGGTTTGCGGTTTGAGTTGAAAGAGGCGTCGGTTCCAAGTGATAGAGATGAAACACTTTTTTTTAGTAACTGCCTCAATTAAATAAATCGTGATAAGTTAAGAGATTATATTGCCTAACCAACCATTCTCGTAACTTTACAATTAAAATGACATTGGATGACAATTGTGCAAAATTATTTGTTTTAATTGTAAGAGTGTAAATAAAATAGTGCGGGCTCGTGCTGCACATAATTTCCTCTACATGTTATAGTATTTTGCCTAATTCGAAATTCTCGATTTTATGATAAACAGATTTTTTTTCAATAAAAAATAAGATAATTCTGTCTTTATCAAAATTGTCATACCGAATTTTACCTAAATAATCCGGTTTCTACGCAATTCTATTTTTTTTAAAACAATTGATTTGTTGCATTTAGGAAAAGATATATGTGATAGTATTTTGCCTAATTCAAAATTCTCGATTTTATGGTAATCAGTTTTATTTTTTAATAAAAAATGAGAAAGACTTTTGACTTTTGCAAAATTGTGAGCATATGTCGAAATTTACCTAAATTAAATCAACAAAACCCATGAATTTAGGGTGCATATATAGCTGATCGATATTTTTGGAATAAATTAAAAAGAAAATTCAAAAACTGCCAAAGATATAATATAATAAATGCTGGTAGACTTTTCTTGTTACTAATTTTAGTAAATAGGTTGGCTCTTTATATATACTAGTACGTACCCCGTGCGATGCACGGGACATAGATATTAAATGAGTTATTTTCACACCATTGTCCGTTTAAGTCTAAAAAATAATAGGATTATAATCTATGTTCTACCTCTTTTAATCAACGTCAAGTTTAAAAAATAATAGGGTTATTATAAGTTTTTTTCCACATTTTTTAACCAGCGTTTTTTTTAGTCAAAACATTAAATATGAGCATGTTAGGGCTAGCTTGTAAAATAACTAATATATTATCTCACTAAAACATTTATACTAATAAAAATTTAATTTTAGCATATAAATTTATCCCTTGATATAAGAAAAAGTAACAGTTTTACTACTATATAATATTTAATTATTATTTTATTATACAATAAAAAGAAATACTATTAAATAGTGTAGTAGAATTGTTATAAAATTATATGAATTATTTTTTTTATAATATGGATTTAATATCTTTTTATGATTTGATAATATAACTATAATATATTCTTAATGATATAATAATATGAGATACGGATTTACATAATACTATGGATTTATTTCTTAATGTTAAGATATTGAATTAGGTAATATACGATTTACTAATTTGTAATCTGTCTCTTTTTATATTGAAAATAATCATGTGATTGAGTAGAGATAACAATTATCTATAAATGCCTTCATTTAAGGATTAATTTTTAAATTGGTCCAAGTGTTGAATGCAGCCCGATTTTTTTGTAACTAAAATGAGAAATGATTTTGAATTTCAAATTTTTACTTCAAAACCACACGTAAATTTGGATGCAGATTTTATTAAAAATAAAATGAGAAGAAATTTTGAATTTCATATTCACTTCAATATATGTCGAAATTTTCAAAAAATGAATTCAATAAAACCCATAATTTTAGGGCATTTAATACTACCCTATTTTATGATTTAAAATATTTAAAACTTTCTAAATATGGTGTGCAATTAATTATGAAATGACTTTCTTCCTACAAATTCTAGTAAATGGGATGACTTTTTATATAAGTATAGATATAGAAGATATAGATTTTGATCGCAGGTAAACCCATACAAATTTCTCCTATTATTGTTTAAATGGATTAGGTCTAAGAAAAAAATGATGTGATGAATTTTATTTTTTCAATGGATTATTATCGAATTAATTTGTAACAATTGGATTAAATTCAAGTTATCCTATTTTTATAGCTGTCCTATTTCTATATATATGTGTAACTCTAAAAACTATTGCAGAAAAATCTTAGATATACAACTAAAATAAATTCTTTGCACCAACATGAAATATTGGTAAGAATATCATGATATATAGCATCCATTTAAAGAAGGAAAAAATATATATTTCAAGAAAATATTCATGCAGATTTTGATAACTCCATTATTTCGTGGATCTACTTATCATGATTTTAAGCGCAATAATCCTATATAAATGGGGTCCCTTGATACAAAACGATTCATTATTGACAATGGGAAAGCTAATCTATTCTTTTTTGTTCTTCGCTTTCATTCAACAGCTTCTCCTTGGTATTATATATCTCTCCTCTCATTATTCAAATAAAAAATTAAGTACATACTTAATGCAAAAGAATAAGAAGTAACGTTTATTTTATTTTGTATCAAAACATTAAGTAATAAAATAAAATTTGAAATCTCAACACTCTTTATGTTATTCTCAAGGTTTTCAAGCCAATGCGGTCTCTTACGATTACTCGCACACGGATGAGGCAAGTCTAGATTTTATCCGTTAAACACCAAATATTTTTTACTCTTATTTGTTAGAATTAGGTTTTTTTTTTTTTTCTAAGTTTTTATATTTATCAATATTGTGTTTATTGTTTTTCAGTGTTTGGCAGCACCTCTAAAGTCTCAATATGATGGAGGAATAGTTGTAAACCCAGAGTTCAATGAGGGTTTGAAGGGTTGGACACAATTTGGAGATATAAATATAGAGCATCAACAATCTGATGATGGAAACAAATACATTGTTGCATCTCAGCGAAATCAATCTTTTCATAGTTTGTCACAAACCTTCATTCTCGAAAATGACAAACTCTACACTTTCTCTGGTAATTATTCTTTTTTTTTTTTTTTGGTCAAAATAACAGTAGTAATATTTAAAAGTAAAATTTGTATTTTTTAATTGGAGAAAATAAAAAAGTGCGAACGAACATTTATGTAACTAATAACGTTTCATTAAATTTTGTGAATTAATTTATTATTACAGCTTGGTTACAAGTAAGCCATGGACAAGCTGACATAGCAGCAATTTTCAAGACCAACACGAGCTACGTTACGGCCGGATGGGTCACGGCCCAAAAGGGGTGTTGGTCCTTTTTGAAGGGTGGCTTAACAGTCACTGCTTCCGGCCCAGCCCAACTCTATTTTGAGGTTGCCTATTTGTTTTCTTATGAGTATTTTTTTTTTTTTTTTTTCGCTATTCATCTAATTTATCTTTTACCAGTCGCCATGAATAGTTCTTGGAAGTAAGGAATTTATCGGTAGTATAAACATAATATATATGAAGAATCTATCCCAATTATAAACAAGATACAAATCGCGTTTACTTATTTGTATGTACGTTATTGGATTTTGTACAAATATATTTGGTGAATTAATGAAATTCTTGAGTAATTTAAATCATTTGCTAAAATACCCAATTATTTCCTTTTTATTGTCAGAGCCAAAATTCAGGAGTTGATATTTGGGCAGACAGCATCTCATTGCAGCCATTTACTCAGGAAGAGTGGACATCTCACCAACAAGAAAGCATTGAAAAGGTGAAAACAGTAATATCTACCCAAATAAATAATGAAGCATACACAATCACACAAAAGCTCCTTACATCCTTCTATTTTCTATAACAAATACAACTAAATATTTGTATAGTCAATTGAAACCATAAACAGAATGACTACTTAAATTTATTTGAAAAATTTTATTTGAAAAATATTGTAAAAGAATGACTACTTAAATTTTATTTGAAAAATTTATAATTAAAAATATTGTAAAAGAATGACTACTTAAATTTAACCATAAACAGATAACCTACCTAAATAACATTTGCAGGCACGCAAAGGAAGGGTTAAATTGCAGGCGGTGGACCAGCACGGCCGACCCCTCCCGAACGCTACCGTCTCCATAGAGCAGATCCGCGGCGGATTCCCTTTCGGCGCCGCCATCAACAAGAACATCCTCGGCAACTCCGCCTACCAGAACTGGTTCTTCTCCCGCTTCAAGCACACCGTCTTCGAGAACGAGCTCAAATGGTACGCCAACGAGCCTTCCCGGGGCTCCGAGGACTACTCCGCCTCCGACGCCCTCGTCCGCCTCGCCAAATCGCGCGGCGTCGCCATCCGCGGCCACAACGTGCTCTGGGCCGACCCAAGGTACCAGCCGGGCTGGGTCGGCGGTCTCTCTCCGGCCGACCTCCGGGCCGCCGCCACAAAGAGGATAAAATCGGTGGTGGGCCGGTACAGGGGGCAGCTCATCCACTGGGACGTCGTGAACGAGAATCTGCACTCCAACTTTTTCGAGGGCAAATTGGGAAATCAGGCTTCTCGGATGTTTTATTCGACGGCGAACCGGATCGACGGCCGGGCGACGCCGTTTCTGAACGATTACAATACAATTGAGGACGGCCGTGATGGGGCTTCGTCGCCGGCTAAGTATTTGGGGAAGATTAGGGAGTTTAGGGCCCAGGGCTATAATGGGCCGCTAGGTATTGGGCTTGAGGGCCACTTTTCGAATGCCAATTTACCTTATATTAGGTCTGCTATTGATACACTCGCTTCCGCCAGGCTCCCCATTTGGGTTACCGAGTTGGACGTTACGTCTGGGCCTAACCAGGTAAAATTTACACTAATTTTGTTAGATTAATTATATTATTTAATGTGAAGTGATAATTATAGTTTTATGATTGAATTAGGCATCATTTTTGGATCAAATTCTGCGTGAGATTCATTCACACCCGGCCGTGCAAGGCATAGTACTTTGGGTGGCCTGGAGTCCACAGGGATGCTACAGAATGTGCCTCACAGACAATAATTTCCAAAACTTAGCCACCGGTAATGTTGTCGACAAGTTTAGAGGTCTACTGGCCCATGCCGATTATCTCCCAGAAACTACTGATTCTGAGGGATTTTACGAGGGCTCGTTTTATCACGGCGAATATGAAGTGACAATAAGCCACCCGAACGGCGTACAAGTTTCCGATTCTCGGGTTATTAATGTTGCGCCGCAAGCACAAGCTGGAGACGTTCATCGTTTCCGATTCTCGGGTTATTAATGTTGCGCCGCAAGCACAAGCTGGAGACGTTCATCGTATCACAATCAACGTTTAAAAATGAGTAGTGTTCACAATGTTGGAATTGATTTGAATTATTCACATAGGAATTTCAATATTTCATACTTTCATCCACCTATTGTGATTTTTGTATCTTAATTAATAATAATAGCCATGGATAAAATATTGCATTTTACCCCTATTCCAGAACTAAATTTTCCAATTCATGAATTCTATTGAAATTGAAACATGATGCTCATGATTCATGAATCATGGTATCAGAGCTGGTTCTATTTGGGACCGTGCAATGACGTACTCGTTTGGGCTAGTCCTCTTTTCACCAATTGGTTTTGGGATGAAACTTCACTTGGGCTTACCCTGTCATGGTGTGCTTCATCTGCGTAGGACTGCACCCGTTTTACCCTCGAGTCTTACAAACTCCATATTAATTATTTAATATTTTTTTAGAATTTTTTTTTCTATTAAAAAGCTAACATAAATAATATAATATTGCAAATATGGAATATTTTTTTTTAACTAGTAAGTTTTAAGCATATTGAAAATTTTATGCATTTACTCACTTCTACGTCAAAATATTGAATTTTTCGTAATATACTAATACTAATACAACACCCGTGTATTACATGGGTGCTTGTTAAAAAATTATTCTTAAATTTTAAAATTAATGAGAAAAATTATTTTAAATTTTATTTATTTTTTAACAAAAAATATATATTATATATTCTAGAATGACAAACTTACATGTGTTATATTATAGTAATTTTTATGACTTATATCATATAACTACTTGAAATATAAATATATTAATTGATAAATAATTATATTTTTCTAATTAATATTAAAAAAACAATTTTATTATTGTTATAAATATAAATATAATTTTTTGATACATACAATATGGATGTTAAATCGAAGCTCATCAAACGATGATTAACTTAATATATTATATATGTAAAACTGATAAAAAATACAAAAGCTATTAACTTTTAAAATATATTTACAATTCAATGTTTATAATAAGAAATGATATTAAGATGCAATTAATACATATAACACGACCATAAATAATCAACATATTTATGGACAGTCGAAGCATTTAATTTTGCCACATAAGATCCCGAAGCATGCGAGCTTGCCATTTAGGCTCAGCATGTTTTGAATTAATATATGTAGGGGGATTAGTGTTTTTAGTATTTTTTTGTCAAATATAAATATCATTAATAATAAAATTTACTTAACATAATCTACATTCTTTCCTATATTGTGTAAATCTTCAAAATTTGTTCAAAATATAATTTTCAAAATCTACTTACCATATTGGTGATGTTGATATTTTTTGGTAAACAATAAAGAAAGGTGAAGAAAAACTTTATTATTGTTAATAGATGACTTTGGGCCTTCCGTATTTACTCATTTGATAGGTCAAATGTTGAAGTTTCTATATCTAATAATATTAGTGTTTTTAGTTAATGGATGTACTGATTTTTAATTAATGGATTAACAAATTATAATTTAGTATGATTAAATATCCTCATTTTTCTAAAACAGACTTTATATTTATTATATGCGTATCTCCGAAAAGAATAATTTATTTGGAGATAATATATTTTCAAAATATCTTTTTATTTAACAAGTAACTATCTTTAAATCGATTATTGTTCATGGATATGTCTTATCACTTGCAGTTTTTTTCTTGTATATAAATGATTTGCATACAAATATTTTAAATAAATTATATTTTTAATTAATGTTTTGCAACTAAAAAATATTTATCACTCTTTTTATGAATTAAAAAATATTATAACCACATAATAATTAATTGACGAAATAAAATTAAGTCAGGTTTGTAATTGTCTTTCATCCATATTATGTACCATCCTAGCATGTAATTAGAAGATTTTTTTTTTTTTATTTTAAACAATAAAATCTCCAATTCATACTGAACCGACTCATTAGACCAGATTCTCCGAACAGAATCGAACGGAACCGAATTCAAGTTTAGTTCGAAACGGATATTTCTAGGAATCAATTCGGTTCGGAGATCTAATTTTTGGGATCTCTGAAGTTCGATCGCCAATGGAGATTTTTGAATCTTTGGACCGAACTGATCCTTGCAGCTGTGCTCAAACCTAGTGTTGATCGAACCGGTTAATTTGTTTCGATTTTGGTTACGGGGCAACACTAACACTTTTTAT